TCCTGGTAAGCTTCGTTCAAGATGGACAGGTCCATTTGAAGTGTCAAAAGTTCTAAAGTCTGGAGCAGTAGAAATCAAAAACAATTCATGCGCTCCATTTGTGGTAAATGGACAAAGACTGAAGCTCTACAAAGGAGGCGATTTGCCTGTCGACTACTCTAGTCATATTCTTATAGACCCACCAATACCCACATAAAGTAAGATCTAATCGTCAAGCTAACGACGTTAAACAAGCGCTGCATGGGAGGCAACCCATGGTTTATTCTTTATTTTATTTTATTTTATTTTAGTAATTTATATATTTTATCTGGACTAATCTCTTGTGTTTATATTTTCAGGATGCATTACCCCGATGGTATGATTGTGATTTTCAGAGATGAAGCACAAAAAGCCCGATTTGCTACCTTATCTGCTAGACCTATGGTACCCACTAGGTACCCCGATCAGAGCTGCATGGAGGCACTCGGGATTGAGCCAAGTATTAGGTATCTGTGCAACCAACTTGGCTGGGATTCTTATGCTGATGATGTCCACAAAACCTACAGGAACCTTACTCTGGAGTTTCTTAGTTCTATGGACTATAACCCACGAGTGGGTGAAGGAGATGAGCGAGGATGCCTAAGTTTCAGATTGTTTGGTACCGAGTATACCCTGACTATCAAAGAATTTGGGGATTTGCTTGGTTTCCAAACTGGACCGACCGCTATCACTGAGTTTCCATTGAGTTACTACATGGACAGAGATATTGATAAATTTTGGCAGGACATTACTGATAGAGCCAGCCTTGACCCCTCTACCCAGCTGTCCCGAAAGATCCATAACCCGGCTTTCCGATACTTCGAGATGATCCTGTGCCACACTTTCTTTGGGAGGAGTTACTGTGACCACTTAGTCACCGCTGAGGAGATCCTTTTCCTATACTGTGCCAGTCAGTCCAGACCTATAGCTAGTGGAGGTTTTCTGATAGAGAGCCTCGAGCAGACTGCTCGATCCGCTGTAGGACTCATTCATTCCGGAGGAAATGTGACACAGATAGCTTCTGCTTTGGGTTTGGACAGTATGATAGCACAGCTGACCCCATACTGTGGATATACTTTCCTGGATTTAGACTTTTGCATGGATCGTGGGCTCATGAGGAGGGCCTCTTTCCACCCATATCGGTACAGATTGCTCATCAATGACCAGACAGTTTACACCTTCACAATGCCAGACCCACAGATGACTTGTGTTTCCAACTCTGCTAATTGGAACTATTCTGTAGAAGGTTGGGGTGAGATATCAGAGTACACTCCAGAATACACTCCTGCTTCCGAAGATCTCACTCCAGAATACACCCCTGCTTCCGAAGATCCCACTCAGGACTACACTCCTGCTCCCGAGGATTCCACTCCAGATCTACCTTTAAATGAGGGTAACAACACTGATGATGAGTACGATTTCCAAACAGAGGAACCACCCCATTTTTCACCACCACACACGACACCATCTACCTCTAACCCACATGCAGGTACAGCTCCTAGTTTCCATGTCACTGAGGACATGTGGCGTGAGCATATGGCCCGAGAGGCCCAGAGGGACACCCTCCTTGCTACCTTGCAGCAACAGGCGGCCGATAACATGGCCTTCATGCAAGCATCCCAAGAACAAAATGCTAGCTCTCTGCGCACTATCATGGAAAGTCAGCTGGCTTTCCAGAGAGACCAGCACCTACACCAGACCACATACGCTCGTCACTTCCAATTGATGGAGGCAACCCAAGGCACCCTCATTGGTAGGACCCAAGAGCTACAAGCGGCAAATGCCGCCTTGTCAGAGAGATTGGAGCAGCTTGTTTTGGACCAAGATAGCCGCTGTCGCAGCCGTAGCCGCCGTTTCGGTCGTACCAACCAGGATGGTGAAGGTCCTAGTGGCCCCCACTAGTGTTTTCAGGTACCTCCTCCTACCTTATTTTGGAACATTGAGGACAATGTCTGATTTAAGTGTGGGAGGAGCATTTATCGCTTTTATTTTCCGCTTTTATTTTCCGTTTTTCCTGCTTTTAGTTCCCTTCCGCATTTTTTTTTTAGGTGTGTTATATTCGTAGTTAATAAAATGCATGTGATAGGCGAGTCTTTCTGCGTAGTGTACCCTTTCATTTCCCCCACCTTTTAGCCTTACAAAATTTTTTCTTTTTCAAAGATTTATGGTTGTTTTTTAGGATTTGGGCTATGAGACAGGTCCTAGATAGGGTCTATTTCTTGGGCACTCACTTTTTGAAAAATTCGTTATCGTTTTAACACCGTAAGCCTTTTTGAACATCTAGATTAGATCCTTTCTTCCCAATATGCTATGATTTTGAATAAAACTGTACAAATAGGTCTTTAAGTAGTTTATCTTAGCAGTCAGCTCCGGCCTAAGCATGCTCTAAGTGTGGGATCGATGAATATAAGTGGATGATCTCTATTCCGCCTTAAAAGTTATAAAATAAAGTATGAATACGACTACGAGTTGGGTGATTCTCACAAAGATTACTCAACTCAAGAAAGTTGTAAGCACTAACAAAAGTAAAGAAAAAAATATATAAGGCATATTCGTTGTAGTTGGTTCAGAGGTATCTGGTGCTGGACTTGGTAGGGCGGACTACGGTCCGATCCCCCGCAACTGCAAATGGGTAAAATAAAAAGGGATTAAACCAACTCTTGTACCAGAATCCCATCACTTGAGATCAGAGTCACTAACCGGTCACTACACCATGAGTATGTACGGATAACGGGCTTAATGTGATTGCGCCTGAATGAAAAAGGACCTCGTAAAAAAGGGAAGTCTTAGCATAGTAAGGATATTAGGATCGATCTGTACACTTATGAGGTTTATGTCCGCATTTCTGCGAGTAGTGTAATTACGATACCCTTGATTCAGATAGTTAGTGCCTGACAACACACCCTTACTCGGACTTAGAAGCCCTCTTTGCCCAAAACCTGTATACACCATAATTTTCTTTCATCTACTTATAAGAGTTGTTGCTTGAGGACAAGCAAAGGTCTAAGTGTGGGAGGATTTGATCGCACTGAATCGCACTATGTTTTTGACTCAAATATCACATGTTTTCCTTAGTTTTTATTGTCATTTTCTCGTATTATGTTCCTTTTTCCTTTGTTTTCAGGATTCTTGTCATTTCAGAGCCTTCTGTGAAGAAACGAGCCAAAACGCCAAGAAATTAGGGTTTTTCAAGGCATTTTGCACTTATGGCGTTCAGCACCGTGCTGGCTACAGGGAACGCGATGACGTGGCCCACTTTCACCCAGAGATCAACTGCCACGTTCCCATGATGTGGCAGTTCCAGGCACCGCGCCCGCGGCCACCCTCACCGCGCCCGCGGCCTTCACAACAAGTTTCCCGCTCAAAAGAAGTTAAGGGGCATGCTGGTCCTTACGCACCTCAAGGATCCTCTATAAATAGTTTTCGATTTTCATTCTTTAGTTTCATCCAAGCTTAGTACAATCTTAAGCCATATACTATCAGTTTCTGTAAAGTGATAATCTCTTCACATCGGGGAGTTATTGCGGTGTAGATTGAGTTGTAATCGAGTCTTGGAGCACTTTGGTTGAAGTTCATCATACCAGCCTTACCTTTCCGTAGATTTGTATCAGATTCAAGTCTCCGACCAGAGCAAGGTTCTATTTTATTGCATTTCTTTATTTAATTGTTCTTACCATAGTCTACACGTTTTATAGACTTTAAATGCTCTTACCATAGTCTACACGTTTTATAGACTTTAAATGCTCTTACCATAGTCTACACGTTTTATAGACTTTAAATGCTCTTACCATAGTCTACACATTTTATAGACTTTAAATGCTCTTACCATAGTCTACACGTTTTATAGACTCGCACTTATTATGTCTGGCTAAACTATAAAGGTTAGGATGTAATGATTGTCATCATGGTCGTGTTCCAATTATCATGCTAGTGAAAATACTCTGGGGATGTTTTGCTTCTAACTTAAGTCAATTGTGTTTAAATGTTTATTGGGTAAGATCGAAAGCCGTCCAAACTAATGATACGACTTGATTATTATTTAACCAAACAAAAAGAGCGAAAGCCGTTGATTGGTTAAATAGGAATCATTGACCTTTTTAGAAAACGATTTTGAAACTATTTTCGGACGCGTTTGTAGGTTTGAAATCTGACTCTTGGTCAAAAGCCAAAAGTCTCTTTAAGTTAATCTTTCCAAGTAAAATCACTTTTCTGTGAAGTCAAAACTATCAATTTCTTAAAAATAGGTTTACCTCTTTAACGCGGAAGGCACCCTTTATATGTGACAATAAAGGAATTTAATTTAAAGAGTAAACTCGGTTCTTAGTAGTCAAAAGCTACAAGTTACCGTTAAGTTGATTCTTTGCTATCAATAGAAAATACTGCCCCATAAGTAGTTTTATCTACGCATGACCGGACCAATATCTGATTACATGATTTACATTCCAACCTGTCTTTTAAACTGTTATTTACCTCGCTCATTTACTTTGTGCACTACACTCACATCAATATTCTTGTTCGCCTTAGATAAGCACCTTAGCAATAGAGTTGATAGATTGACAATTGGTCTCTGTGGTTCGATAATCTTATATATTACTTCGATAGGCTGTACACTTGCAGTACTACATTTAGGCTATACGTTACAGATTAAACCCATCATACATTTTTAACAATTACAGAAGGAAAATGTGCTGCCACAACAAAGCGTAACATATGTTAGGAGGATTGCAGCCACCGAGGACCTGATAACCAACATCTAATGAAAGTTCATAAGCATAGGATTAATGATCATTAATAATTCCCTTCTTTTGAGGTTGTAAGTTCTAGTTAGGAGCATATACAAGACAAAATTAAATCTAGCACAGAAACATATAGAACACTGCAAACTCACCTTGATAATATCTTCGACCTGCAACTTTTTCCAGGGCATAGGCGCCTACTTTTGATCTTGTAAAACATCTATCACATTATTGTTTATGGACATATCATTTTGAAAACGTTTCTGTCGTAAGAAATTTAAGGGGAAAACATATTAATAAGAAGGATACAAAGTGAAATCCACTGTAACAAATCAATTTATGAGAAAGCCTCAGTATTTTGCAATAATGATGTCATCAAAATAAACATACATCTATGCATGCATAAACCCCCTTTCATTACATATATGGAAGTCATAATCACATTTTGAAACGAAATAAGAATAAATTTCACAAACTTGGAAGCATTGTGTGATAAATGCTTATACTGTATATCTATATACACATCAATTCAGCATTCTCCTATAACATCCTTAATTGGAATTTCCTATATTATGTTGACTCAAAATATTGGCACGTTTGGCGGACGATTTTTGAGTCTCTCGGTCATGTTGGAATACTTCAAAAAATGATTCTTCTTAATTTTGTGCTTATATCTTCTCCATGCCTCTCTAACAGTGGTCTCAATCCAATCTCGTGCTTCAACCGGAAAGATAAACTTCTGCTACATAAATTATAAGATAAGACAAGATCAAGAAATGAAACACTTTTTTTTAATAATTAGAATAAATTGGTGAACTTTTAATCTAAACATGCACAAAGTCAAAGTCCAATATCATTATCAGTTGCCTTCATGGATATTTTTTTTATGAATTATCACATTCATACCAAATGGCCAATATCAGTATACTCGTTGGGTGAAAACTAGCATCATGTAATAGTTACACTCAAAATCATGCCTACACCACAGCCCAAGAAACAAGTTTGCATCCTATACTATAGTTTTTGGTGTCTTAACCTTAACTGAAATTTATAATGTTATGGTCTGCATATTCTATTGGTTTGACCATAAGTTATCTATCTGGATAGGTTTTTGAGTCTCGACACCAATCTAGGTACATAAAAAAAGGGGGGGGGGGGGGGGGGGGGGCGGTTAGCATTACACAACTCCATCTGAACTTCTCAATCAGTCTTATGCAGCTGTCCTGTCCCTGTACCCAATACATACAACTCTTTTTCCTTCCTCTGAATAATCTATAGTTGATCAATATATTCGGCCGAAAAGAGGATTGCCAACCAACTTTAAAATCAAACAATGAAACCCTAAGAGCAGTGCAAGACTCATACTTGCTTGCTACCAAACTCAAAAAATCTGAAATAATGGCATACATCGAAGTTTCCTAAAGAAGCATATGACAATGAACGACATACATAGTATGAAATCAGAGACATGGTGCCTACTTGATCTTCCAAAATGGAGTTAAAATGGTTGTCAGTATAAAATCTTTTTTCATGACCATTCCAAGTAAAATAGACTGAAACAAATATCTCTCTGTGACATCAATAAATTAAACAAAGAACCTCGCTTGCAATCACTAACTAGTCGATAAAGTAAAAGACAAGGACACTTTAATTGTATTATTTCCCTAAATAACAGTTTCAACTTTCCCATAAGAATAATAAATAACAGAGCCAAAACGCGTGCTCAAGTTCATTGGGATAGGAATCCAAACCTTCAAATGGATTTTTCCTTTTCCTAGCTCCTTGACCATCACCTGCCACAGAATTTCCTAACTCATCAAGATCTAACGGAGGAACAAAGTCACATTTGCCCTCTTGCTTGAACATTCCCAAAATCAACTTCTCATCAGCAGTTGCAGACTTTCTCTCTTCTTCAGTTAGTTTGACGCTTCCATCTTGCTCACTGGCCGGTGATTGAAAAGGCGTCAATTTCCCCTATTCAAAAACAAATTAGAAAATTTCATCCAAGAAAAGAAACATGTGCTTTCGAAACGAGCAACAAATAAATGAAACAAATCAACACACTTCAACATATCTCATATATATTAAATCAGCCTGAAACCCTAAGAGTAATTTTGGATCCAGAATTTTACCGGAACGGTTTGAGGGACTGTTGAAGAGTTGTGCAGTTTGCGATCGAGGAAGTGAGTAAGCGATAAACGAGTGGAGTCGCTGTTACACGAAGCTTGATTTCTCGAACTTGCTTCGAAATCATGAGAGCTGGATTCAGCGAGAGTGAGAATGTTGTGAGAAAAGTGATGCAGTTATTGAAGTTGAGGAATGGAATGGGATAGAGATGACTTACGGCGAGAGAAGAATGGAAAGGGAATGGATTGAAAAATATTTTAAATTCCTGTGTTAGAAAATTTTTTATTTTCTATTTAATGAAATTTTTTTTAATATATATATATATATATATATATATATATATATATATATATATATATATATATATATATATATATATATATATATATATATATATATATATATATATATATATAATTTTTTATTTTCTGTTTAATTGAAATTTTTTATTTTTAAATTCCTGTGTTAGAAAAATATTTTTTTTATATATATTAATAATGTTTAGAAAAAAATATTTGTTTTTTAGTGTATAAGTTTTGGAGGGAAGATTGCCACCAAAAATTTGATAATTCTAAAAAAATTTATACAACATTTCAGAAATGTAGCCTTTTATTAGAACTAATGTAACAATCTAAAAATGTCCCCAAAAATATTTTAGGGGACAATTGTCAAACATTGCTAAAGAAATAATATTTTAACGCTCTAAAATCGTCCCCAAAAGCAGTTAAGGGCACAATTAACAACCGTTGGCAAAAAAATAAAAGAGTATCGCTCCATAAACGTCCCCAAAAGTATTTTAGGCAACGATTATCAAGGGTTGCAAACATATTTTTGACAACAATCGTAAATCGTTGCCTATATGAATTTAAGGCAACAATTTCTACATGTTACCTAAAAAAGTGTTGCCAGAGACAACAAATGTTGTAGTGAGAAGAGTGACTTTAATGTTGTGGAGCAGCTGGGGCATACGCCCTCCAAGATCTCTATGCTCTCCTTGCTCCTGTGTTCAGAGGCCCATGCTAAGGCCTTGATCTCATTTCTCAAGACGGCCCATGTGCCACAGGAGACATCTGCAGTCCAGTTCACTGACTGCGTAGCAAATCTGACAGCGGACAATGGCTGAGGTTTCTCAGATGCTAACCTGACTGCGAAGGGAAGAGACCACAATGATGCCCTGCATGTCTCTATCGAATGCAGAGGCACTACTCTGGCACATGTATTGGTGGATACTGGTTCTTCCTTGAATGTACTACCAAAGAAGGCTTTATACCGTCTGGATTGTGAAGGCCTGGAACTGAAACCCAGCAATATTATCGTCAGAGCCTTTGACGGTTCCAAGAGGATGGTTCATGGAGAGGTTGACATTCCTATTCGTGTGGGCTCTCAGGTGTTTGACTCTACCTTTTATGTGATGGATATCCGTCCATCTTACTCTTGTCTACTGGGTCGACCTTGGATCCATAAAGCTGGGGCAGTGACCTCTACCTTGCACCAGAAGCTGAAATACCCTGTCAGAGGGAAGATCGTCACTGTGCAAGGAGAGGAGGAGTATATGGTGAGCCATTTGAATTCCTTCAGGTACATTGAGATGGACGGGGAGTTTATTGAGACCCCCTTTCAGCATTTCGAAGAGGTACTTCCAATTTCAGCAGCAGCAGAAACAGCGGTCGAAGAGGATGTTCTTTTGAAGATGGCTTCCCTAAAGGATGCCCGGGCTGTGGTTCAAAAAGGTGAATGTGCTAACTGGGGCAGGCTTCCCGACTTTACACAGAAAACTGACAAATTTGGACTGGGTTTTACTGCAGAGGGTCAGAAAGCTATGCGGAAGGCAAAGACCAGAAGACCTCCTGTGCTCATTACAAATCCAGGAGTGAATGTTGTTGGGGAGGATAATGAAGTAGATGAAGCTGAGTTCAATAGCTGGATCTATCTGACGACTGAAGGCGGATTGACCAATTGGATTGTCAAAGACCATACTCCTGTTACTTTTGTTACGCAGTAATAAACTTCTTTGTTTTGTTATTTGTAATAAACAATAACTTAAACTCTATGGCCCGGTGTCTTACCCGAGGCACCGTGGTTTCATTTGTGAGGGCATATAAATTGTCATTTCATATATCATGAATGAAAATCTTGGACGTTTTCTCGCATTTCAAATCTTATGCTCCTTTTCTGTCTTTCCTTCCTTTATACATATTTCAAAATAGCTGTATTTACACACACTCACTCATACAGGTTTCAATCCACTCTGGATCTCACTGGTAACAACTCTGCTACAGCCAGTTATGACTTCGAAAATCCGATCAACTTAGCCGAAGACGAAGGTGAAGATGATTGCGAAGTGCCTGGCGAGCTTGCAAGACTGTTACTCCAGGAAGAGAGGGCAATTCAACCACACGAAGAGCCAGTGGAGACAATAAACTTGGGTACTGATACAGACAGAAAAGAGGTAAAGATTGGTGCCAACCTAGAGCTCAACGTGAAGCAACGGTTGACTAAGATGTTACATGATTATGTGGAGATCTTCGCCTGGTCCTACAAAGACATGCCCGGGTTGGATACTGATATTGTGGTCCATCATTTGCCTACTAAGGAAGACTGCCCTCCGGTTAAGCAAAAGGTCCGCCGTATGCGTCCAGAGATGTCTGAGAAGATCAAAGCCGAGGTTATGAAACAGTTTGATGCTGGGTTCCTTGCAGTGACTTCTTACCCTCAGTGGGTTGCTAATGTGGTGCCGGGTACCAAAGAAGGACGGTAAGGTCAGAATGTGTGTCGACTACAGGGATCTAAACAGGGCCAGCCCCAAAGATGACTTCCCTCTACCTCACATTGATGTCCTTGTTGACAATACAGCTCAGCATAAGGTGTTCTCTTTCATGGATGGTTTTTCAGGCTACAATCAGATCAAGATGGCACCTGAAGACATGGAAAAGACTACATTTGTTACTCAGTGGGGCACCTTCTGCTACAAGGTCATGCCTTTTGGACTTAAGAACGCTGGGGCAACCTACCAACGTGCCATGGTTGCTTTATTTCATGACATGATCCATCATGAGATAGAAGTGTATGTTGACGACATGATCGCAAGGTCCCAAACTGAGGAAGAGCACCTAGATCATCTGCAGAAATTGTTTGACCGTCTGAAGTTGTACAAGCTGAGGTTGAACCCGAACAAGTGCACCTTCGGGGTAAGATCCGGAAAGTTGCTAGGCTTCGTGGTGAGTGATAAAGGTATTCAAGTGGACCCTGCTAAGGTTAAAGCTATTCAAGAGATGCCAGTTCCTAGGACAGAGAAGGAAGTCAGAGGCTTTTTAGGACGCCTGAATTACATTGCTCGATTCATCTCACACCTAACTGCTACCTGTGAACCAATCTTCAAGCTGCTGAAGAAAGATCAGGTAGTACGCTGGAATGATGAATGTCAGGCTGCTTTTGACAGAATCAAAGAGTATCTCCAAGAACCACCCATCCTTATGCCACCGGTTGAAGGGAGACCTCTGATACTATATCTGACAGTGCTTGACAACTCAATGGGGTGTGTGCTGGGGCAGCATGACGAGTCTGGCCGAAAAGAGCATGCCATTTATTACCTTAGCAAAAAGTTTACCGACTGTGAGACCCGATACTCACTGCTTGAGAAAACTTGTTGCGCTTTGGTATGGGCTGCTCGCCGGCTGAGACAGTATATGCTGACTCACACTACCTTGTTGATCTCAAAGATGGATCCTATAAAGTACATATTCGAAAAGCCTGCTCTGTCTGGGAGAATTGCAAGATGGCAAATGATCTTGACGGAATACGACATTCAGTACACGACCCAGAAAGCCATCAAGGGAAGTGTATTGGCAGACCACTTGGCACATCAGGCCGTAGATGACTATCAGTCAATGAACTTCGAGTTTCCGGATGAAAGCATCATGATAGTAACTGATTGTGAAGTACCTGGACCGGATGAAGGACCTGAGGAAGGATCCCGATGGTCTATGCACTTTGACGGAGCCTCCAACGCTTTGGGAAACGGTATTGGCGCTGTAATCATATCTCCTCAAGGCACTCATACTCCCCTCACTGCCCGGCTATGTTTCAACTGTACCAACAACATGGAGGAGTATGAGGCGTGCATCATGGGTCTTCAAGCTGCGATCGACTTAAGGATCAAGTTTCTAAGTGTCTTTGGAGATTCTGCTCTCGTGATCAATTAGATCAAAGGAGAGTGGGATACGAAACATCCGAATCTTATTCCTTACAGAGAATGTGTGTTGACATTGATCCCCCACTTCACGAAGATAACCTTTGAACACTTTCCAAGAGAAGAGAATCAGTTGGCGGACGCGTTAGCTACAATGTCTTCTATGTTCAAGGTCAAATGGGATAATGAGGCTCCCCGGATCATCATCTGGAAACTGGACGAACCGGCATACTGTTGTGATCTCGAGACAGAGTTGGTAACTGAGAAGCCTTGGTACCATGAGGTGAAGAGATATTTGGAAGCTCAGGAATACCATGAAGGTGCCTCTGTCAATGATAAGAAGTTCTTGAGAAGGTTCGCAGCAAAGTTCTTCCTTAGCAACGACATCTTGTACAAGCGAAACCATGATTCGACCTTACTGCGTTGTGTGGATAAGAATGAAGCAGAAAGGATCATGGAAGAGTTACATGAAGGGACCTTTGGTACACACTCCAGTGGGCACACTATGGCTAAGAAGATCCTTCGGGCAGGGTATTTCTGGTCCACAATGGAAGCTGACTGCTATCAACACTCTCGGACATGCCATAAATGCCAGATATATGCAGACAAGGTGCATGTTCCTCCAGTTCCTTTGAATGTTCTGACTGCGCCTTGGCCGTTTGCAATGTGGGGCATAGACATGATCGGTGAGATTAAACCTACAGCATCCAACGGGCATCGCTTCATCCTGGTAGCGATTGATTATTTCACGAAGTGGGTTGAAGCAGCTTCCTATGCTACGGTAACCAAGACTGTTGTGGCACGGTTCATTCGGCATAACCTGATCTGTCGATACGGCGTCCCAGAAAGAATTACTACAGACAACGGTACCAATCTCAATAACAAGATGATCGCTGAGCTCTGCGAGCAGTTTAAGATACAGCACCACAATTCTTCTCCATACAGACCGAAGATGAATGGGGCTGTAGAAGCAGCAAATAAGAACATAAAGAAAATCGTGCAGAAGATGACAGTGACTTATAAAGATTGGCACGAGATGTTACCGTTCGCTCTACATGGGTACCGTACCTCAGCCAGGACGTTAACCGGGGCAACTCCTTTCTCCTTGGTCTACGGTATGGAGGCAGTCTTACCAATCGAAGTGCAAATACCCTCTCTCCGGATAATGAAGGATGCAAATATGAACGAAGATGATTGGATCCAGACACGACTTAATCAACTAAACCTTATTGATGAAAAGAGACTTGCTGCTATCTGCCACGGTCAGACGTATCAGAAACGGATGATCAAGGCATTTAACAAAAAGGTCAGACCACAAGAGTATCAAGTTGGGGATCTAGTAATCAAGCGAATCATCCTTCCTCAGAGTGATCCAAGGGGCAAATGGACCCCTACATACGAAGGGCCATTTGTGGTTAAGCATGTGTTCTTAGGAGGAGCCATGATTCTAACCAACATGGATGGTGACGACCTTCCTCACCCCGCCAATGCAGACATAGTAAAAAGATAATACGCATAAAAAAGGACCCGCTAGGCTGACATGCCTAGGCAAAAATTAGGGCTTCCCGGCGAACCAAAAGGGTTCGGGCAAAATGAAGGGATGAAATGAAAAATCTGTACACCCGGCAAGTCGAAAAC